CATTTGTGGAGAATAAGTTTCTTAGATCATGGCCTCTTAATGGTTACAACCATTTAAAAAATAAAACATTTTTTTAATTATTTGCGTACTTGGCTCATATCTCAGGTATTTGATCAGATATATCCACAAGTCTAGAGTCTTTATAGAGGTGGGACTCTCTTCTCACAAAATTAATGTATAGCTTTGTTCTAGATTAAAAATTATCGAAGTTATAACCTCTAGAACGTGGTTACGATAATATTTCCAGAAACTGTTCACTTTTCTCGCTTGCGTACCCATTCCCCATATCTCTGTTAATTAATGATCTATATTAACATAATTTGTTCTATCTAATTATTAGACTCTCTTCTATGAAAATCTGTTCATTTTGTTTGTTTTTCTTTTATTATTTCTAAAGTTATGGCCCATAGAAGCTAATTACTTGAAAATTTCCAAAAATTGGTAATTTTGAACACTTACCGACTTTGGTCGATATCTTTTCCATTTGGTTAGATATATTAACATATCTGACCACTATTTAAAGCTCTGAATGTCTTCTTTTAATATCTGAAAATAATATTTGAATTTGTGTGCTTTTCCCAAAGTTATGGGCCCTTTAGCTTGATCACAAAGAAATGACAGAAATTTTATTATTTTGGGTAAATATGTACTTTGGTCGATAATTTTAGTATTTGGTCGGTAATATTATTATAACTCTATTGTTTTATAACATTTCGAATATAATCTTTCTATTTGTAATGATTTTTCAACGATACAATGATTAGTTATAGAGTTATGACCTCTGAAAACTGTTAATCCAAAAATTACCAAAAATTGGTAATTTTGCGTACTTGCCTACTTTGGCCTATATCTCGGGTATTTGGTTAGATATTTCAACAAAATGTTATTTAATTGAAAGAATTAAGCCTCTTCTTCTGAAATTGTATTATTTCGTTTAGATACACCTCTGACTTTTAAAGTTGTGACTTCTTGAACTTGATTGCGCAAAAATTCCGAAAAATATGTAATTTTGGGTAATCATGTACTTTGGCCGATATCTATTTTAATTGACAAGCTATTTTGGAATATTTACACTCTATTTAAAGATTACCATTGTTTCTTTAAAAAATCAATTAATTTTCTTGGGATATCTTAGTTAGTTTGAAAGTTATGTCCTTTATAAATTGATTACGGAAAATTCCTTAAAAATTTGTCTTTTTGGGTAATTGTGTATTTTGGTCGATATCTCTGGTATTTGGTTAGTTATATTAGCATATTCGCCCATTATTTAAAGCTAAGAATCTATGCTTTAAAAATCTGTTATTTGTTTGTGGATACACTTGTCACATCCCCTAGTTATGCTCTGTTGAATTCTATGCTGAAAATTTGTCATTTTAAAAAATTATATATTTTTGTCAATATCTCCAAAATTTGACTAGATACATAAATTTAACCTTTAACGAGGTATGAAACAGACACTCTTCTGCCAAAAATTAAGATTCTTTTTTGTTTTTAAACATGAAAAAAATCTTAAGTTTTAGGGAAATTGTCTTTGAAAGGTAGAGAGCAATTAAAAAACACATTAAAAATACAACACAAAAATCTAAACCGAAATCATTTAAATTAAAAGAAATGAACCTGGTTATTTTTTTGTTTGTTTGCATTTTGTTTCGTAAAAGAATTGAAAATGAAAAACTCATAATTTTTAATTTTTTTTAAATACATTTATAATATTATTTTTTTTTTTTTTTTTTGGTTTAAAGATGAGTTTTGTTTTTTTGTTTTTTTTTTTTGCATATTTTTGTTGTTGGGTTTTAATGATAATTAAGTAATAAATATAAGTAATTAATAAGATTAGAAGTAATAATAATAATAAATTTGCTTGGTTTTGCAATAATTAATATCATTATATAATTGAAAAAAAATCAATAAATAATTAAACAAATAATCATTGTGTTGCTTTTGGATTTTGTTTTGTTGTTAATTAAATTAAATTTAATAAATAAATATCTTGATATATAATAAATATGCTTTGATTACAATTACACACGTATACAATTAAATTAATTAAATGAATATTTTGTTGTCATTCTTGTTTTGGTTTTGTTCACAAAGATAGATAGAAAATAATTAGAAAGAGATTTATGTGTTTTTTTTTTTTTTCTATATAAAATAAAACTTAAAATTCAGTTTTAAGTACATTTAATTAAAAAAAATATATATTTAAAAAAATATATGTGAGTATTAAATTGGTTTTTTTTTGTTGTTGAAAAATTGTTGTTTTCGAAAACAAAATTTTCAAACGAAGAAAAAAAGAAAAATAAATTTTTATTTTAAACATAACCTTAAAAAGTTCCAGGTTTAACACATTAATGGTGGTAATATTGAAAAAAAAAATATTTGAAACACAAAAGGGGTTTTGCATGTTTCCCTTAAATTTTGAAAAAAATCTAAATACTCTGAGCCTTTGTTGTTATATTCTATTGCACAAGACTGGAAATGGACCTGAAACTTTTTTAGTTTATATGCTAAACAAAAACTGTTGATGTTTTAATGAAATAAATGTTCATTAAAATCTTCTTCTTGGTAATTGTAGTGTTCTTGTTGTTGTTGGTTCACTTTAATGTTTATAAAACATGTAATACTACCTTTGTTTTGTCTTCAAAATGTGTGTGTGGTTGGTTTGTTTTACAAGTAATTATTTCTGGCTTACTAAGCTATACCATTTTTTGAATTCTTTTCAATTAGTTTGCAATTTTTTTGTTTTAGGAAATTTTAATAATTTTTTTCTCGATCTTGTTTTTTTGTTAACAAATTTTGACTAGCAATTTTATGTGTTTTTTTTTTTTTTTTTTTGTTTTTCGTATGTCTGTATATTCCAAGAAGAATATGGAATGTTTTAATATTATATATATTTTTTTGTTACTATAAACAATATTAAGTTTTGAGATCATTTGTTATTTTGTTTTGAAATAGAGATTATGACTAGAATCGTTTGGAAACAGTTGGAATGTCAAAGGTGAAAGGTTTGTTTGTTGTTTAGTTTGGTGGAATGTTGAGAGCTAAAAAAAGAAAAATAAAACAAAAATCTACAAAAAAAAACAATAAAATAAATCATACTAAAAATCTACTCAGAAAGACACAAAATAAAATAAGTCAACTGTTTACACAGGGCAATTAATGTAAAAAAATGCAATGCCAGTAAATTTGCACAGAGAAACTTGTGTTATGGCCAGTTAACTTTACATTGTGTCAACTGTGTAAACAGTGGCTTGGTAAATAGCACCCAAAAGATCTCATTTACTAGCCATTCACATTCTCTCGCTCTCTCTCACGCACTACAAAACATGGAAGGGGTTAAAATAAATGAAGTTGGTTAGCAGCACACTCTCTCTCTCTTTCTGCTTCTCTGGTTGTTCTTCTCACTTACTCATTCTGTTACGAAAACAAACGAAATTAAAAAATATATGAATATTAAAATGGAAAAAGAAAAACATAACTAAAAACGAAATTAAAAAATAAATAAAAAATCAAAAGTTTTTTTGTTTTGCCAAAAAAATAAAATATTTGTTTTATTAATAAAAATTGTTTTTGTTGTTGGTTTTTGCATTACATTTTACATAATAAATTATAATAATTACAAAAACAAAATAAAAAGAACAAACAGGAAAAAAATGATAAAAATAATAATAGGTTATTTTTGTAAAGTTGTAGTAATTAAAAAAAAAATAAAATAAAATTATTATATAAATAATAATGTGATAAATCTAAATCAACCAATATACATATGTGTGTAAACGAAATGAGAATTATGACATGATAATGGGGGGAGGGAAAAATTTGGATAAAAAAATTGGAAAATTTTAAGAGTTCTAATTATTTGGACAACATTTTGAAATTTTTATTGTCCCTTCGTCATTTTCCTGAAGTTTTGAAAATGAATGTCTTAAAAAGAGGCGAAAACAAAAAATTTCCTTCCATGGAAATACATTTTTTCCAAAATTCACAAAAGGATTTCTTCTATTGCAAGTTTCCATGACTAACCCTCCATCTATTTTCTATGAAATATTTTGGCATGGAAGGAAAAAATTTAAACCTCACAACGAGGTTACTATTATTTTTATATACAGGGTGAGATGAAAAAAACTGCAACCAACTTCAGACTGCTGTCATTTCTAAGGCAGAAAAATGGCTCGTGAGCTGAACATATCGCCATATTCCATTCGGCAAATATTAAAAAATAAGCCGAGGTGTAAAGCCATTGAAATTCCAAAAAGTGCAAGAACTTACACCGTAACAGAAAGAAAATATACTCAAAAGAGCTAAAGAGTTGCTTCGCTTGGCCGAAAGTGGCGAAGTGCCGAATTTAGGGTTTCTTCGATGAGAAAACATTCGTTGTCCAGCAGTTTGTAAACCAAGAAAATGATCGTGTTTACTTGCCAAAGAGGAGGTCAGCTGAAAGTGTGCACCTTCGGTTGGCCACCAGAACTTAAGCGCCGGTGGTGTGGGCCGCCACAACAGTTGAAGGTCGCTCTCCGTTCGTATCAATCGACCGTGGCATCAGAACAAATGCCGAAGATTATCGCAAAAATATCCTGGAGGGTGTATTAAGGTCTTGGGAATGCAAACATTTTGGCCGCAGACCTTGGACATTCCAACAGGACTCAGCACCATCGCACTCAGCATTGGCGCCACCCAAGAATGCTTACAAAATGACCACCAAAATCTCCGGATACCAATTACGTTGGACTATTGTGTCTGGAGTATTTTGGAAAGCAAGGTTGGTGCACTAAAATGCGAAAGTGTCGATCACCTCAAGCAAGCGCTTCGTCGGGAATGAGCCAAAATACGGCAGAGCAGTATTCGGGCAGTGTGTGACGGTTGTTTCATTGGCCCTTTGAAGGCCATAATTCGTTCCCAAGCTGACCAATTCGAACAAATCTAAAATTTGATGCTATTTCCAACATTTTTTGCTTTCATTTAATAAAATTAAAAAATATGTAAAAATTATGGCGTTTGACTTTGTTGCAGTTTTTTTTATCTCAGTCTGTATTTTTTTTAATTAAAAAAGCCTCTTATATTTGCTTAAAATGTTTCCAATTTGTTTTTTATCCAATTTTCCAAAACATTCTCCCAGAATTACACAAAACAGAATTTGGGTTTCTCTTTACTTGTTTTTTTGGTTTACAAATGGGAGAGGTTAGTTTATGACTTTCCCAAAAGTTGATTTTTTTCGCATTTATTAAAAAAAAATAATAATAATGAATTAAAATAAAAAGAGATAGCAGTTGACAAAATAATGTAAAAAAACTAAGAACAAAATCAAATTACAAACTAAAAAAAATATGGTGAAATTAAAATTAAAAAAAAATTAAACTAAATACAAAGAAAAAAACCTAAAACCACAAAAAGAAAATAATAAAAAAATTAAATTAAAAATCATGTTGCTTTTACTATATACTATAAATATGCATGTATATGTGTGTGTATAAGAACATAAATTATAATTAAAATTAAAAAAAAGAGAAAGGGTTAAAGAAAAATTATCAATTATTCTAACGGCGAAAGTCAAGATGCCAGATCTTGAAACTTTCTTTATTCAATTGTCTCATAATGTGATGATTATTTTGTTGTATTTTCACGAATTAAAATTAAAATTATTTGAAAAATTAAAAAAAGAAGTTTGAAAATATGTGTAGATAAATGAAAATTCACAAAAATCATTGCCATTTGTTTGTTTGTGTTATTTTTCTCAATGGATTCCTTTGTTATATTGTTTTGTTTTTTTTCCTTCATTTCTTAATACATAAAATGTGTAATAAATAAGTTTGTTTTTAAATATAAGATAATGAAAAAAGAAAAAAATTAAAATATATTTTTGTCATAAATATATATATTTACATAAAAATTGTTAGCAATTGTTTTTGTTTTGTATAAAAATGAGATACCTAATTTTCTTATAAAAAAAATTTGCAATTTGCCTTCATTTGTTACATTTCATTTCTTCTATTGCACAGAAATTTGTGTGTGTATATGTGTTCTCGTTATTAGCTTAGTTAGTTTTCATTCCTAATTTCATCATTTCATTAGCTTGCATTATTTTTTTTTTTAGGTTAGGTTTTGTGTTTTACAACAAAAAGAAGTATTGAAAAGTATTTTATCAAAAAAAATCTATACTCTTCTCTTTTCGACTATATACGAATAGTTGATTTTTATATAATTTGGGTCTCGATGATAGTGGGAAAGGGTTTTCATTCAAAAAAACGCTTTTGTCTATTTGAGGTTATGATGTCTTCTTTATATCGCACTTTCGGAGGTAGGTCTTGAATTTTAGTTTTTTAATTATACCGAATTGTTTGTCACAGAACTCATATTTGTAGCATAACCTTAAAATTTTACCTTATTTTGAAAAATAAGGAAAAAAATTCAACATAACCTCAAAAAATGAGATATATTTTTTTGGAAAAAATCTTAAAAATCTAAACCTTAAAATTTTGATATTGCTTTATTTTTTCATAAATATATTTCCGTATGTGTAATATTCTATAATATAATAGGTTTATTACGAAAAATTAAATTCTGTTCAACATAACCTCAAAAATTGTTATCAATATTTTTGGGCTTTTTAGGAAAATTGCAACCATATTTTGTAGCAGTTTACGAAATTTGAAGTAATTGTGTTTAATATATGAACATTTTGCATAATTTAAAGCCAAAAAAAATTAATTTGTTTAACGTAACCTCAATTTTTTAAAACAATTTTTTGAAGTTATATTAATAACGAAAAAAACTTGCCATAGTCCTTATTAATTTATGAAATTATTTGAATTGAATACAAAATAATGTTCTATTTTTTAAATTTAAGGAAAAAATTAAAGAAAGAATTAAATTTTTTAATGATTTTTAGGGTTAACATTTTTTTGAAAACATTTTGGAAATACTATAATTCTTTACTGGAATGAACATGAATTCCAGAATGTATACATAATTTGTGAATTTTTTCTGTTTCTTTTTTTTTCAAGTAAAAATCTTTCTTCAGTTAAACACAACGGGAAAAATGTTTTCAGAAAAATTTTGAGTTTTTCAAGAAATTTTTTCCACATTATGGCATAATTTGAGCAAGTCTTGGTTGCAGCTACAATTAAAACCCGTTTCTTTTCAAAACTGAATTTTTTTTCAACATAGCCTCAAAAACGATATTTTTTAACAAAAATATTGGAACTTTTAGCAATCGTTATTCAATATTTGAGACATTTTGATAACTTTTCCCACATTATGGCATAATCCTTGGTTATGAGTACTGTTGTTTCTTTCCAAAAATGAATTTCTTTCAACATAACCTCAAAAAAAAATTTATCAAAAATTTTGAGTTTTTAGTGAACATTATTTAAATAAATAATGTTTATCTTTGAATGTGGACACAAAATAGTTATTGATCGCTCATTTCGAAGACAATAAACTTGATTTTTTTTTTGTTTTTTTTTTTTTTAATATAACCTCTTGTTTTGATATATTACCATTTATTCATGGAAAGGATTTGATTACTACATAAAATTTGTGTGTGTTTTGTTGGAAAAGCTTCAATATTGAAATTTGACTTAAACATAACCTCAAATTCAATTTGAATGAATGACAACCTTTTCCCTTATTTCATCGAGTCCCTATAGAAAACTTCTATGTGTGTGTTATTTTTGTATATAGAATTTTACTAAATATTTAAATCTTTGGATTATATAGGTTACGTTTCCTTCCTTGCAATAACAACAAGTTTGAGAAGAAATTAAATAAAAAGAAAAAAAAAGAAATTAGTGTACAAAAAAATTGAAAAACTGAAAAAATATATATTTTTCTTAAAAGAAAAACGTTTAGCTAGAGATGTTGTTCAAAAATGAAAAAAACTCCTATGATATTTTCAAGAGTTGTTTTCTTTTTTCATTTCTTGTATGTTTTTATATATATTAAGCTGCTTGGTTTTTAAACTTAATTTTAAAAATATATATTTTTATATTTTATTTTTTTTCACTGACTAGATTTTTGTTTGTTACTTTTTGTTGTTAGATTTGTTCTTGCTTTCTCTTTATCTTTCATTGGGGGAGTTGGTTTTCCTCACGTTTTGTTTTTTGTTCTTTAAATACTAATTTTTTATATAAATTATTTTTGTTTTTGGTTGCTTAAGAACTAAAGTGTTTTGTTAAGAAACTTATAATTGTGTGTGTGTATTGTTGTTTTTAAAATATATATATGTATACATACTAAAAAAAAGTTACTAAAATCGCATACACATAATAATCAATTATAAATATTAAATAGTATAATAATAAATATGTATATGTAAATATTTAAACATTTAAATGAGAGAGAATAGAGTGTGAGAAGAAAGGAGGGGGGTCATATGCGCTGATGTTTTGTAATGATATTTTTCTAATAATGAAATACAAATTTGTTTCAAATGGGGACAAGGGAAAATAAAAATAATTTTTCTCCAACATTTTGAGGTTGAAGAAGAAGATGGATCTTCAAACTTGATACCATATTGTTTTTGTTTTCCCTTCTCCTTTCTCTTTTTTGGTACTAAAAAAATAAGTATTTTTCTTTACTGAACTTTAAACAAATAATGCCTGCCTTTTGAAGAAAGAATCGGAAAAAATCAAGTTTTTCATATATAATTAAAAATAAATACTTTTTTCTATATAATAAAATATGAAAAATTACTTTAATAATTTCTTCTCTAAAGAAAAACTTAAAGAAATCAACAAAAGAAATTAATAATAATATTTATGTATATCTCTATGTAAGAAAAAACAAAGAAACAACACTAACAATAAGTTTTGAAAAAAGAAAACAAACTAAAATTTAATGCAATCCTAATTTTCTTCTGCTGGAGGATGGGGGGTGCAAAAGAAAAACCAGTGAAATGCTGCTGATGGTTCATGGGGGGGCGCACGAGTACAGAGAGGGTAGAGTTTTTGGAGAGATGTATTTACCAAAAACCAAAAAGAAAAAAAAAACAAAAGCAATTTCAAAACAAAGCAACTCAAAGCATATCTATAGTTTAGATGAAAAATTATAAAATTCAATTAAAAAGAATTATATATATATATTTGTTATTTCATAATACGATTTATTGTATAAACATTTGTGCTTTATAATGTTTCTTCATTTTGTAAATGATCAAGTTTGCTTTTTGTTTTCACTCAAAAAAAAAATCCCAGAGGAGATGGGGGTGGGCGGGCAAAAAAAAATTGTTTCTATCCCTGACTGGCGATATCTAGGAAAGTTCTTTAATTTCAGTTTTACAGAAGATCTTCTGTCTATAGAGGGAGACAGTCACCCAAAAATTCCATGAATGAAAACTGAGTCTTTTCATTTTCTTTTCCTAAGGCCCTGACTATCTTAAATAATTTCTATCATATACTGGCGATATCTAGGTAAGGTGTTATATTCATTGAAAATCAATGCAAGACCTTTCATTTTAGTTTTACAGAAGGTCTTCTGTCCATAGAGTGAGACAGTCTTCCAAAAAATCCATTAATTAAAACTGAGTCTTTTCCATTTTCTTTTCCTTAGGACCTCACTATTAAGTAACTCAGATTTTCTTCCACGACTCTTTTTTTTAAAAATAGTAACTAGTAACTTTTATAAACTAGAAGGGACTTCTGTTTAAAAATTTGTTAAGTCTATGGGGCAGCAAGGGAGAGAAACTGTTCTTTGACATTCGCTTTTAAAACCTTAAACAGTTTAAACAGTTTCTATGCCTGACTGTCGTTATCTCGGTAAGGTATTATATTCATTGAGAATCAATGCAAGATCTTTAATTTCAGTTTTACAGAAGGTCTTCCGTCTATAGAGGGAGACAGTCACGCAGAAAATTAATGAATGAAAACTGAGTCTTTTCATTTTCTTTTCCTTAGGCCCTCACTATTAAGTAACTCAGATTTTCTTCCACGACTCTTTTTTTAAGAATAGTAACTAGTAACATTTATTAGCCAGAAGGGACTTCCATTTAAAAATTTGTTATGTCAATGGGTCAGCAAGAGAGAGGCCGTGTTATTTTCTTCTATGAAACAAATTTTTATTTCTAAATTTGATAGGAAGGTCCCGTTCTCTCTCACAACTCAGTTAACCTTTTTAAGAACAATGTTTTCTTCTGAAATTTATTAAATCTCTGTATAGGAAGAAATCTAAGAAAAGTTTTGAATTTTAATATCTTTGCCCTAGTGTTTTTGAATGTTGAATATAAAAAACCTAAAACCAAATTTCCTTGCACCCAAAGCTCCCCAGGGATTTTAATTTTCAGAGTGTTTTTCTTTTACCAATTTCGCTACATTTTAAATTATAAATACTTGCTATTCTCCTGGTTAGGGGAACCGATCTATGATGATATTCATAAATTATTGTTGTTTGTTACTTTGAGTTTTTTGTTTGTTTAATTTTTAACTAGTTTTGGTTTTTGTTTGTTTCGATTTTTCTTTTCCTTTTTTTTGTATTATATTTATATTAATAATAATAAAAAGGAGTTTTCTTTAATTAGGTATTCTTCTAACATTCACCAGTAAATTTAGTAATGGTAATAATAATAATGACGATGATGTTGATGGCCTCTAGCTTTTTCTTCACTCATTTTGAATTTGTTCTGAACAATTGTTTTGCTAAAACATAATATCTTGTAATACTGTAAAAAGCCTCTTTATAGCTGTGTTTGTGTGTGTATCGTTTCTTAACTCTTCTTTTTTTAAATATAGAAAAAATCCTATATTAATTATTATTTTAAAAATGTTTTTTTTTTTCTTTTTGTTTTTCTTTCACTGGCGAGTGTTTGAAAATTGTTTTACTTTCTTAATAGTTTTGTTTAATTAAATTTATGCGTTTTTTTTTATTTCTTGGAAGATTTACTTGTTTTGCTTGCTTTTCCCAAATTTTAGTTTGTTTTACTTTCTTTTTTTGCTGTTTCGATCGTTCGGTCGGTCTTCATTATTCTTTTTAGCCTATATGTTAAAATTGTTTTTCTTTCCGTTTTTTTATTTTTAATAAAAAATTGTTACTTCTTTCATCAAAATATTGCCTTGTCATTTCTTTTGTTGATCTCTTTAAGAAGCAAAGGACAATTTTCTTTATAAGAAAAGAATCCTCAATCATGCAAATTTCAAAAAAGGACATGCATTATTTCCAGTTGCCAGGCGGGCAAGAGTTTTAAAACAATCGAGAGAGGGAGACCAAAAATCTCTGCTCCCTTTTTCTTTTGCAAGAAAAATAGTCAGCATTTGCATTGTTTAAAACTCCAGATCCTACTTGCAATTATTAAATGTGTGGGTCTGTTTGTGAGGAGTAGTAGTAGTAATAGAGGGGACAAGTTATCATCTATTGTATGCTTAAGAAATGTGTTGTTGTTGTTCTGTGTTCTTTCTATATACTATATATATATATATATAAATTATGTTATGTATGTGTTTTGTTGTTCTTGCCTAATTTACTTTTTGTTAGTCTTAAAACTAACTTGTAATACTCGATTACCCAAAGTATAACCATTGAGCGCCCTTATTGCCATAGCTGCTTCATCGTAGTTGGTCATGGACACAAAGCCATAACCTTTGCATTGATTGGTCGACGAGTCTTTGACAATTTTCACGGATTGCACAGCGCCAAAGGGACCAAATAGCTGCCACAGCGAAGATTCTTCGGTTTCGGGTGCCAAGTTGTAAATGAATATGGGATAGGCACCACCGGGCCCAGTGGCCAATGAGGTGGCGGCAGCAGCACCCAAGCCATTGGGCAGCATTACGTCCAACATATCACCGGCCATGGGTGAAAAACGGGCCAGACCCTTGTTGACGGGTGTGTGCATGGCACCACCAATGCGTCGCACCAGCTGGGGATTTAAAAAGGTTGGAATCTGAGGCTGGATTATCTTGTTTGTACTGCCCGGGGTATTGGAGAATTTCACCACAATGGGGTCGGTGCAACCCGTGGGTGTGGTACCGTTCAATGCAATTATGGCCCTGGTGGCCTCTTCACGTTTGTCGAAACGAATGAAGCCCACACCCTTGGTTTGGGTATCATTACCGGCATTTTGCAAAATCCTCGAAGTAATTATTTGACCAAATGGTGCAAAAATTGCCTCCAAATCTTGTTGAGTCATGGTCTTGGGCAGACCGGAAACATATAGATTGGCGCCCTTTATGGCCTCCGAGGAGGGTCGGGCAAATGACACCTTTATGGTTTTATTTTGCAGCCGCAAACCATTCAAAACATTGACAGCCTGCTCAGCATCTTGGGGCCGTACATAGTTAACAAATCCATAGCCCAAACTTTGACCCTTGGTGGCTGTCGGGTTCAAGGGATCCAAAAAGGGTTGACTTTTGTCGCGTATCAATTTCACCGATTCAATTTCACCCACACTCGAGAACAGCGAACGTATCTCGTCTTCACTCATAGTCTGTGGCAAATAGTTGACAATCAAATTGGTGCGGGTCTCACTGGAGCCATTTGTATTGCCATTGGTGCCGTTGGTTTGATTTTGCAATTGCTGGGCAACAGCGGCGGCGGCTGCAGCCACAGCTTGTTGGGTCTGTTGTTGTTGTACCTGCAATATGGCCTGCTGAACCTGCTGCTGTTGCAGTTGGGCAGCAGCTGCGGCGGCTGGTGATACGGCCAGCTGCGCAGCTGCCGCTGCCGGATTGGCACCAGGCAAAATGGCAGATTGATTATCGACTGCTGCTCCAGGATTGGCCATCATGAAATCCACTGGAAAATCAAAAAAGAAACGGAAAAGGAAAAACAAAAATTAATACAAAAACTCAACAAAGAAAATGAAATTAAAAACGAAAACATTCAATAATTTTAAATGATTGAGAAAAAGAGATGTTTTTTTTGGTTTAGAGGTTATGTTCAAGAGGATATGGCTGGGCACAAGGCATTCACCCCTGGAAAAAATGAGGTCGTTACTGTTTTGTCGATGTTGTTGTTTGTGGGATGAGAGTGAGGGAGCGTCGCCGAAAAAGTAATAACGCGGAAAGGATGTGAAGAACAACAAATTTAGGGGGAAGTAAATTTTGTTTTTAGGGGAAATTTCTGTGGGGATGGGCGAACAAGGAAAACTTTTGCAAGGAAAATTTTCCTAGAATAAAATAAACCTGGCATAAAAATAGTTGAAAAATTGCTTTTTAACTAAAAATGATTAATTAATTTGACAAAAAAAAATCTTTTGAATTCGAATTTGATCGATATTAAAAACAAATGGCTTTTAAATAAGAATATATTTTTTTCAAAACCGAAAATATCTACGAAATGTAAGAAAACGAAATTGTTTCCTTTTTTCAACAAATTACCGAATACTAAAAAATTTCCTTAAACATTTAAAAAATAAATAACTTTTGCAAATTAAATATAAAAACATAGTTTTTAAAAAACAAATGCCAAAAACTTTACCAAAAATATTAAAGTTCAAATAAGATTTGTATTTCACAAAATTTTAAATTCACAATTATATTTTTCGCTATGCGGAAATCTATTTAAACCACCTCAAACGAGTATGTATACACTACTAAAACTGCAGTAAGTTTTATGAGAATTCCCGGTAAAAATGTGGAAGCTATGAGCGCGTACTGCCGGGATGCCTGGATGGCGCAAGAGTAAATTTTTTTGTTGCAAAATGTACGGAGACAAGGGTCGTGTCGTTCGGTCGGTCTTCGTTGTTACAAGACTAGAGCATTTTTCGCTTGGAAATTCCATGAAAAAATCCACCCTTATTGCAATACTTCCATCCGTTTTTAAGAGAAATTACAAAAAGAGCAGGACGAAGAAGGGAGAATTTTGGGGTGCACAAACACCAACCTAGAAAACATCATGTAAATCAGCATAATTATCCAGCCAAAAATTTAAGAAAGGACATTTTATTTCTTTTTCTCTTTGGGTCATTGGACATTTGTATTACAATAATTAAAATTTTTCTTTCCAAGAGAAAAACATCTATAGAACTACCCCTCTCTCTCTCTCTGTTATGGCAACAGACAACAAAGCCCTCTTGTGGAAACCCATCCCATGGAAGTGGTGAGTTTCTAGGCCGTGCCTGTGTGTCTTCGGATATCACCCACAAAACTTCCCTTATTGCAAGTCATTACATACAAGGGTGGAATGGATGGAGGGTGTTGGTGGTGGAAAACTAGAAATAAGGGTGTATAAATGTCGTCGCCCTTATCTTTAATTTGCTAAAACGAACGCCATGTGTTTTTCCACACAAAAAAAAAACACATTTCCAATGAAGTGGTTTTGTGCCTTGTTTAAATATTCCAAAATCAGCAGGGGGTGTTTTTTTGTTTGTTTCAATGCAAAGCAAAGAATGAATGAGAAGTTGAAAATGGCTAGTGAAGAGAATGGCAGCAAACTAGAATTTCCTGGGACAAGTTTTAAGCAAATCCTCAAGTTTACATCGATTTTTTAGTGGACATTCCTATTCCTAATTAATAATTTTTGAACTGTATTTCGAAAAGATATTGTCATTTGTGTGGCAGTCACACGATCTGGCTACTAAATAAAAATAACATGTAAATTATATGAATTGTAGTAACACAAACGATTATCAGGATATGGATTTCCTCTTACAAAACAACTACTTTACCATTCAAAGGGATTCATCTGCGATTTCACTCTATATAAATTAGTTATCGATAATTCTTTTGCTATACGACAACTGCCAAAAGCATATTTTTATAGAGGTACTTTGTCGATAACTGTTATTATATGAAGTACAATTTTTCGATTACTTATTTTTAAAATAGAAAAATTTTCGATAACGATTGCTTCACGTAAAAATAAATAATTTGAAAAAGTCACATTTGAGATTTGCGACAAGTTTTTTATGTAGCAAAAATTACTATATCTACATTTCTATAGAGACGTATCATCGATAATAACTTAAAAATGATCGGTAACATATCTACGACAGATAAAAAAAAAATTCGATAAGTCCGAAATATTGTTAATAAAAGTTGTTAATTTTCTGTGGACCAAAATTGCCGATTAGTATTTGTAAAAAACAGATGCCAAAAAAGCAAAAAAAGAAAAATAGTCTGTGAATAGTCTTTGCTAGTAATTAAAAAAATTATAAATGTTATGAAAGGAAGTTCCTCAATAATTTGTATCACTTTCTGATAAAATCTTTTCGCATCAGCTTTGCAGGAAATAAAATAAAGAATTGTTATCGATAATAACTTATTAATAAAGAAATGCTGTAAATAACTATTTTCTACTGACGAGGAATAATCGATAACACGTCTTTAATATAGAATACTGTCTCTTCTGAAAGTTCATCGATTATAAAGTTTCAATAAAGAAAACATCGTAATACAACATAATTTTTCGATAATTACTTTTCAACAGAGAAATAATGTCGATATTGTCTTTTGCGTAGAGAAATATTACATTTCACAAAGAAATATTATTGATAACAATTTTTCTTCCACAGAAATGTTTTCTATTACAAGATGCTGAGAAAGAAAATTTTTCGACAATCAGCAGAATATAAGAGTAGTTGTCGATAAACTCGTTTCAGGTTACAAATGTTTCCCAGAAACATTTAGTCGATAACAGAATTTCCCAAAATAATATTGTCGATATTTAATAACTTCAATTCCAAAAATTCAAAATTCGACTTTGCCGAGGAAAGCCTTGTGATAAAATATACCTAAATAGATATTGGTGATTGTAAATGTAATCGATAACATTTTTAAGAAAAATCTTGAAAATTCCAACTCCTCCGTGTAGTCTGTCTTTTATATACCCCAAGTGTCATGAAATTGCTTGCGGGTTAACCGTGAATTTGCTATGCCAAATTTACCATAAAAAACATTTCATTTTTATTCCCCTAAATTAACGATATCCCTTAACTATTCCTAAAGCATGGCAACCCTATTGTTTACCTTAAAGAATATGAATAGGTAATGTGCAAACATGAAAAGATTTTATTTATATGAACTACTAACTCTGACTATATAAAATTGATATTATAAACATAAAAACGCGCATAGGAAAACTTAATTTGCTCCCTCTCTTTTTATTTACTTATATTTTCGTTTACGACTGCAAATTTACACTGAACACATTCACGCACACACACTCACACACACCGAGTGTGCTATACACTTTGTACCACACACCAAAAAAAAAATGTTATTAACACGCCACACAGTACCACCTAGTTGACCCCACCATAGAATGACAAAAACAACAATAAGTTGCGTACGAAAATGAAAATTCATTAAATCTAGTACTCTCAATGAAAATGGAGTGGACAGGATGAGGAAAATTACAAGTTAAAATAAATAACACATAAAAAGGTTGTCATCATCATCGGCCACAAAATGAAAACAAACGAGAGAAATGCTAGGTAGAAGAAGAACCCAACACAACAATTACTCACTTTGTTTTATTTGGGCTTGTTGTACGTGAAAATTGTATTGAAAGTGTCTGTCTGTCTCCGGGGTTTAACTGCCGCTGTACGACGCCAGCTATACGCGCTGTAATAGAGAATATTAAAACGACTAGTTTTCTATTTTCACTGTTTGTTTGTCGGGGTTTTAGTTTTTTTTTTTGAGATCAGAATGCGCTTAATTTTTTTACTGGGTTGTTAGAGAGAAGCCTGACACACACACACAAACACCAAAAACAGACGAAATATAATTTGACGTTGTGTGTATACTATGATGATGTTGGGCCTTTAGCGGCGACGTTGACGATATCGTTTATAATGACGGCGACGGCGGCGGGCGTTTATAGATGAGGTGTATTTTGTTCTCTGTGTGGCTGAGTGTCAATTTGTATATATGTACGTGTGTGTGTGTGTACTAATAGGTAGGAATATCTGTGTTGTTCTGTTTTTGCTGCTTCCTCCTCTATTTTTAACACTAATATTAATAAAAAAGATGTAGCGACAGCGTCGGTCGACGGTGGCGGCGGCAAAGCAACTTGCAGGGGGTTAGCGTTCTTTTTCGTAAAACAAAAAGAGTAAAGAAAGAAAAATCGATTTATTGATTTCAATTGCAGGAAGAAGGAAAAGGGAAGGGTACTTGTAAAGAAACAACAACAAAAATGCTATATGAATGGATTTTCGCATGTGTAAATTATTTTTTCTTTTGCTTTTATTGTCATGTACTTGCAGCAGTACTGACTGACTGGCTGGCTTTCTTTTGTATCGACGACGTTTCGTATAGTTTTTCTTTTCGTTGCGTGTATTTGTTGTAGTAGGTATTCCACAATCCACAGAAAAAAATTTTCTTTGAAACGTTTTTCAAAATTGTTACACAATATACGATTTATGAAAGGAAAATATGTTTTTCTTATTTTTTCATTTTTTTTTCTCAATCATTTAACTCATTTCATCATTTGTTTCTGTTCATTCATTAGATACAGATACATTTTCTGTGTTCTGCTCTTTACACTTTCAGATATTTTTTCATTTCATTTTATTTCTTTTTTGCTCCAACAACACCACTTTTTGTTTAAAATCGTTTATTTTCGCACACTTACTTTTTTCTCTTTGTTTTCTTTAATATTTGTTTAATAAATAATTTTTAATTAAAAGCTATGGCTTTTCCGTTTTTATTAGATATTTTCTATGCAAAAAAATATTTCTTTTTGTTTGTGTTTTCCGTTTCTGCGTAACGTTAACAGATACGTCTCTCCAGTTCGAAATGTTAGGATTAAATAAAAATGAATTAAGGCTGGTAAATTTAGCTAACCCAACGTCGAATCAATTGCCGACAACTGGCCTCTCTTCGGTGTGGTGAAGAACAACAATAAGAGAGAACAAAAAATACACTCTCTTAAATTTTAACGCCAGAGAGAATTCAACAAAGAATGGGAGAACACAAAGAAACTCAGAAAGGTGAAAGTAATGTGTGGTGAAAATGGCAAAGTGTGGGGATTTTCACACAAAACAATGGGAATTAGCAAAAATGCACAAAATAGCCCATCAGTGACTTAAATATTTCACAAAAAAAAAAAAAAACAAGTCCTCTTTAAAGAGTTTATCGTTTGACAATAGATTTTTTTTTTAGAAATTACTATCGGTAGAGTTGTAATCAGTAGCAACTTCTTTCTATCGAAAAGTTGCTATTGACTTTTAAAAGTTAGCGATAACCCCTTTTCCCTAGAAAATTTTTATCGACAAGTTTTCCCTTTTGAAAACTACTCATAGTTTACTTTCCCATTGCAAAAATTCTTAACAATAACTTTTATTTATTGAAATTGGTTTTCTGTACAAGCTATCTTCGAGCTTCCTCTTTAAAAATGTCATTGTTAAACAATTGTTTCTTTAGAAAGTTACAACTTTTTCCATAGAAAGGTTATTATCGACTATTTCTCAAATGAAAGCGAGTTATCGATGTAATTTCTTTATAAGACAATAATTATCGATAAAATTTCTTAATTCAACTGCTACTGTTTACAAGTTCCTTTGTAAGAAAAGAAGTTATCGACTTCTCTAAAATCCATCAACAAAATTTTCATTTCTCAAAAATTATTTATTGAAAAACTTTCTTGTAAAAGTCTTTTATCGATAATTTTTATGTAGATACAATTTGATTTTGGACAATTTTGTCATATGGAAAAGTAATTATCCTGTGGAAAAGTTGTTATCGGCAAAGTTTATCGACATATCATTGACATAGAAAAGACGATATCGTCAACCTTTTTCCACACAAAAACTATTATCGCAAACCAGTAGAAGAAAATATCAATAAAAGGAACTAACAATCGATAACCGATAACTTAGCAACTGGTACATGAATATTTCGTGTATAGTACCAACTTCTTCTTGACCAAGAAATCAACTATCGAGTCCAAAAAAAAGCTGTTATCGACCAGCTTTCTGTAGAAAACTAGTTTATTGTTTCGTATTAAAACTTTGCTATCAAAAACATTTCTCCACAGATATCTTTTTATCGACGATTTTTTTCTATAGAGATTTTGTTATTGACACATAATTGTTATCGGCGATAGTTAGAAAACTATTTTTTGCTTCAGAAATGTATTATCGAAAACTTTTCTCCATCAAAAAGTTGATATCGACTACTTTCTTCTGTAGAAAATATGTTATCGACAACTTTTCCCTACAGAAAAACTGTTATCGACAAAGTTTTGAAAATTTACTATCGACAATCTCTCTGTAGAAAACTAGTTACCGTAAATATTTAATATTTAAAACATTGCTATCGAAAACTTTTCCCAATGAAAATGTTGTTATCGACTACTTTTTCTTTGGGATTGCTGCTATCGACATTTTTTTCCATTTTATTGACAACTGTTCCCATAGAAAAACTGTTATTGTATTTTCCTTTAAAGTGAGGCTGTTCTCGACCTCATTCTTTTTTAAATAAATGCTCTGTTCCAGAACCTGCAAGAATCTACTAGTTTTGCAATTTTATTCGATATCATAAAGTGAAAATCGGTTATCGTAGTAAAAAAAATTTTACATTCTTGCAATTCTGCAACAGACCACAAGATAATGAGGAAAAACTATTTATAACGAAAAGTCGTTATCGACAATTTTTTTAAAATTAGGTTATGTCAAAAAGTTATTCTCGAAGTTGCTTTGTTCCACATCCTGTAAGAATCTACTATTTTTGCAATTTTGTTCTATCATAAAGTGAAAATCGGTTATAATAGTAAAAAGTTTTACATTCTTGCACTTCTGGAACAGACCAAGTATTATCCCCAATTATCTCTTTGTAGAGAAGCCATATTTTATAATTTTCTCTATTTAAATTATTAACGACAACCTATTACAATAGTGAAAAAGTTATCGAAAACCCGAAAATGCATATAAAAAAATTTTAACGACCACTGTTTGATATAGACACTTTAATCGATATTTTTTCTGTTTTTGTAAAATTTCCAGTGGTTATCGCCAAATTTTTTCTATGATATATTTAAAAAAAATATTTATCGATAACTTTTCTCTATAGAAAATTGGTTTTCTCTGTGGAAATCTCCTATTTCGTTATATTTTTGGATAAAAATACTTATTATATAATAATTTAACAAATTGTTATCGATCACTTTTCCCTATTGATTGACTATTTTCTTTTTTGGTAGGAGGAGGGTGGTGTTTGGAAACTACTATTTTTTAGAAAAGTGTTTATGGAGAACTTTTCGTTGTTATCGATAACCTTTGTTACGGATTTAATCTTCAGGGTGAAGCATTTCATCTGCCTAGTTTTCACACTCTCCGGCGTTCTCTTTGTAGGGCCCTGTGGTGGAAATGAATGCAATATGATACACCACATTACAGGCTCTAGCAGTTTACAACATTTACAAATCCCAGATGCGTGAGTAAGGATTTATTCTGCACATGAACACATACATATCTACGTCGTACGTGCCGCATTCAGCTATCATCATTCCACATCCGTTTGCCACCATTTGCGAACGTAGTTGTAAAGGCTTGCTTGCATGGGGATGTTGAAGTGAAGTTTCCCTTACAAGGGTGGTGTAAATGAGCATCGGCGGCAGCGGCAGCAGCCAACTGTAAATGGAAAGTAAACATTGAGAACTTTTAATACCTGTTTTGCATTTTATATATGTATGTATGTCTATATACGTATGTTTGTATATGTGTGCCTGTTTGTACATTATGCAATATTAAATATTTGAGGGTTGTTTGTTTGCTTTATTTCCTTGCGACTGATTACTTCCGCGTTTCTGCAGACTTTTTGTTAAAATATTCCAGATTTACACCCCTTTTACAAACGCAAGAACAACAAATGAGGGTGGGTTTTGTTGCAGTCAAACCACCCCGCAATTTCAGGACCTTTCTCTTTTGTTTACTATTCAAATTCCCATTGGAATAGAGTAACCTGTTTATGGTAGTTGTCGGCAAGCGAAACAATGAACCAAAGCTATGCTCTTTCATAAGTTGAAATGAATTTCTTGGCGAAACAAAGAACAGAAACACAAGCTGTATATCCAACCCTAGTGAAACGAGAAATTAAAATATTTTTTATACCGATTTTTTAAAGCGGCTCAACCATTCTTCCAACGAAACTTTGAAAACCTATACGTTCCTGATATTTTCCCAAAAAAAGAATAAATTATTTCTAACCCATAACTCAATTGGCAATGTTTCGGTGAATGAAACTTCCAAAATCGAATTGGAAAAATCCTTTCTTTGATACCCAGACATTGCTTCCAGCATCTGTTTCCAATGCGCATGACTATTGTCTTTAGCCGGGATTTTAATATTAACCCGGAATGGAATGACATTAAATTCTAATTTCTCCTAATACGCGACTCACTCTCTTATTTGTTAAAAAAAAAACTCACATTTACTCTTTAAAATATCTCTTACGCAACAAACTCTTTGGTCGTTCAAACATTTGTGTTCTGTTCTAGTTTTACAATTTTTATCGATATCATAAAGTAGAAAATCGGTTATCGTAGTAAGAACTTTTACATTCTTGCAACAGATCATTTATTTATAGTAGAAGAAGAGTGCAAAAGTAAAGGTGAGAACACATAAAACGCTGTTTTGACTGGCTTCGTCGGAAAAGAACAAATTCGAACTAAGACAACCTAAAACTCCTATCTATGAAAAAGCCAGCCAATGACTCAAGCCAGTCAAAACAGCGTTATGTGTATTGCTCTGTTCCAGTACCTGCAAGATTCTACTATTTTTCCAATATTCTACCATATCATAAAGGGAAAATCGATATAATAAAGGGTTATCGTTGTAATTCTTGCAGTTCTGGAACAGACCATATGTATCATCTTAAATATACCAATTAGTTATCGATAACAGTTTTTTCTCAAAATTAAATCTGTCGATAACAACTTTTAAGTTCGGAAAGGTTGTCGATAGCTAGTTATCGATAATAACACTGCTATTAAAAATTATATATTGAAAATAGCAAACTTTTTATGAGGGATACATCTTCAAGAATCTGCTAGTTTTGCAATTTTTTCGATATCATAAAGGGACAATCGGTTATCGTAGTAAAAACTTTCCTTGCAGTTCTGGAACAGACCATAGATGACTACTGTTTTACAAAAAAGCCGTCATGTGCTCTCTTCCAGTACCTGCAAGAATCTACTAGTTTTGCAATTTTTTTCGATATCGTAAAGGGAAAATCGGTTATCGTAGTAAAAACTTTTACATTCTTGCAGTTCTGGAACAGACCAATTCACAATTTATTTGTAGAGAAATGTTGCCATTAACATATTTTCTATACAGAAATAAACATTTTTACAAAAAAGAGACTTTGTCAATTACTACTTGCTCTGTTTTAGAACCTGCAAGAATCTACTAGTTTCTCCTTTTTTCGATATTGGTTATCGTAGTAAAAAGTTTTTCATTCTTGTAGTTCTGGAAAAGAGAATATATTTTAATAACAAGTTTTATAGGGAGAAATATAGTCACGATCACACATGTTCTGTTCCAGAACTTGGAAGAATCTACTAGTTTTGCAATATTTTTCGATATCAT